TGCGGCGGCGACTTCCTGACTTTAAACAATAAAAAAATGTTTCCATCTTTGTGGTGTCAGCTGGGTTCTTAAAAAGAAGAGGTACACCGTTTATAGCAAATTAAAAGTTGTGAACCCACAATGGAACACACTCTGGGTTAACACAGCCTTTACCAACTCTGATTTTCAACACTAACATAATCGTATCCTGTAAGCACTAAAACAATGTGTTAAAATTTTTTTTTTTTTGAAGAAAGTAAAGAATACAAAGACAGAATAGTATAAACTCTCCCCAGTAGCATATCACCCATGTCAACTACAGCTTCTCCTCCTGAATGATGGATCCTTTTTAGTAGTCTGGGCCCGTGTGCTCCAATGAGGCTTGGATGGAGATAACACAGTGTCCAAAATTTGTGTGTGTCATTGCTGGACATGGTAAAAATTGAAGGTTGGGAGTTTAGGATGTGAAAAATGTCTGACTCAAGGTTGTCCCTGCAGTGAAGAGGTCCCGTTTCCTCCTGAGGCGATACACTCACGCACTGACTGCATCCTTCTCCTTCTTGTCACTGTCTTCATGCCAGGTGAGACGTTCCTCATAGAAGGCTATGACAATCTGTGGGCACTTATGATTGGCCTCCTTTGCGAGCACGAGATCAGCCTCATCAGAGTCTTTCCTGGAAAGAGAAAGTTTAAAATTACCGCTTGGGTTTGTGTCTTTGCACAACCAAGATATAATATCTCCATTTTCAAAACACTTGCAACATGCAAATTTTGTCCAACTAGTTAAAATGTAGCATAAGCTTTCACACATTACATTAATTACATGGAGTGCATTTAAATTCCATCTGCTGCAAGTGATTATTAAAATGATAACTTACAAGAAATTAAAAGAAAAAGAAATTTGAACTGTACAGCTTTCTGTGATAAATTAAACTACTACAACTATTATCTGACATTAACCCTTAAACGGGGCTTGACCAAGGATGAACAACAATGTACTACCCTTATCCCTCAAGATAATATGCAATTACATACCATAGGCCAGCTAAGCTATAAATGCTGCTAAAGGCAATTTACAAATAGAAATATCAGAGTGTAAGAAGAATTATGTCAGTACAGCCTGCATACAGCAGAAGAACTGCCTGCATACAGCAAAAGAACTGCCTGCATACAGCAGAAGAACTGCCTGCATACAGCAGAAGAACTGCCTGCATACAGCAGAAGAACTGCCTGCATCTGAATGGTTGTGCATGTAAGAAGATTTCTAACACTAGGTGCATTTATTGATCGATTTCACACAAAAACCAAAGGCAAAATTAAATCAAGACTTTCAGAACCTACCACTTCATAAGAAACATGAGGTCTCCACACGAGTCTGTTGCTCCAATGATCTTCTCCGGCTCAAGTCCTCTCTCAAAGCCGCGTGCGACTAGAATGTCATCCTGAAAGACCCCGAACAAAATTACTTTAGAAATCTGGATTTTGTATTAAACTCTTGAATTTACACCAGCTGTCTTTAAATGTAAACAGTCTCAGTTTCCACACACCTTAGATAAATGTGTTGTGCTACCTTAATGTCAAGTGAAAAAGGAAGCCAAATGCAGCACATTTCAAGTTCTAGACATCCTGCTTCTTCAGCCAAAAATAGTTCTTACCTCTTTTTTCTTCTTGGGCTTACTTCCACCTTCCTCGTCATCATCCGAGCTCCTCTTCTTTGAGCTGCTAGAATCTTTGGAGCGTCCAGAGGCGGCCGTGTTTGATTTGCTGGCCCCACTGCTGGGTGTGGAGGTCCCGCCACTGCTTTTCTTGTAGGTCTTCATGAATTCTGAAATAAGCTCAGGGCAATCCAAATTTTTCTCTGGTTCCCATGTGTTGTGCTTGCTGAGAAAGAGCACAGAACAGAAAAATCAGTGCAGCCTTAATGCACCAGTTTGAATTGGAAACTGCAAGATATGCTAAAAAATTTGATATCTTGCAATGTTTAAAACACTATAATCTAATGTTCCTTTCATGGTCATTACTGTGCTTTAGATGACAGCATCTAGTGTCTAAGAGAGCTGTTCTGTTGTGCACTGGGTGCATCTTGGACCCGAGTGTTAGAATAGCAATCTCCAATAACCTACCTACTCCAAAATGTGACCAACTGTTTACAACATTTAATTTTAATAGAGATTCAAAAGATTTTTGACTATGGGGGCTATGACCGTTGTTAGTACATTTATTTAATTACTTACTCCGAGTATCCCTTCCACTTTAGGAAGAACTCAACCCTTCCTTTCACCACCCTCCTGTCCAGCACTTTTTCCACAACATATTCTTCCTCATCAGAGGATGAAGACTCTTCTCCGCGAGACTTTTTGCCCATGGTAAAGTTTGGTGCTTAACACAACGCGGTTGCAGGTGACACTTCCCTGTTTAGAAAGAACGGAAAAGCTCGCGTTAAAGATATTTGAGTTTTGATCGCTCTCCCACTAGCTCTAGTTAATAAAAAAAAAACGCACCCATTTTTAAAAAGAATAATGGCTACACAGCCACATCACTCCAATCGCAAAGCAGCTACAAATTACAGATCGGTAACACTCTAACATTAGCTAATTAGCCACAGCTAGCAAGATTGTTATCATATTTCAACGAGATGCTTAATATCGTCATCGTTTGTTTAATTGCAACATGCAACGTTAAAAAGACCAACTAAACAGTGCAGCTAAATATCCAGATCGCAATCTACTCGCTAAATCGGCGAAAAGTCGGTCACTGTTACTACAAAAACGTACAAATAGCAAGGACGACGGCTACTAGCTGGATGGCGCTAGCAGCAAAGCAAATGAAAACTTGCTACAGCAGGTAGCCTGCAAGCAACCGCTAAATCGAGCTAAACTACTATGCTATCAAACCATGCGCCCATATCTACAGCGGCATGAAACTGTAAAAAATAGTGTCTTACTCTTCTGGAGGTCCCAACCGTCGATCTGTACCCGTCAAACCCTGTCTTTGTGGAGGAGCGGCGAGGCCAACCTTTCAGCTACTTTAGCAGCTAGCACAACACACACACACATACACACAAAGGTGCTGTGCGCAAAAAAGCGCGCGTTAAAGCGCACAATAACTGACCCGCCCCTCGGTCAGCTGATGATCTTCATATAAAGTGGTTGAATGTGCTTCTATCGTGTTTTTAAGTTTATTCTGTAACAATTTGGAATTTTTTTTATCTTAATACGTGTGCACTCTATATAGAAAATATTTTTCTTTGATAAGAAGGTGTGTATGTTAATGTGGGAGGTAGGGCTATTGCTGTACAAGGCTGCTGTGCTTCCGCCCACAAATCAAAAAAGGAATCATTTACGGTTCGTATGATGTTTAATCTAAAAAACTGACCATCTTCCTTGTGTTTTCCAGGAACATAACTTAGCGAGCTGTGCCCACTGTATGCTTACTGACTTAAAGGCGTTATACACGACAGACTCGATACCTTCTTCAAATTTTCCTTTTCACACACAACAACCGTAATCCATTTTTTCATTGTCGTCATTGCACATCAGGTGATTGGATGTTGGTAATGATTGATTCTATGTGGCCCAATCAAAATTGAATCACTGCGGACGACAAACTGCAGCGGGAATAGCTGCCCAATTGCCGTGCGACAGGGGCGGTACCGTTGCTATTTATTGTACTGTTGAATAGCAGGCTACGCTCGTCTGACGCAGATCTCGGCTCTTCGCAAGTTACACAACACGTCTTCAAGGCTAAATCTGCAACATGTCGAGAGAGAGTGTGAGTACTGGGCTCGGGACTACTGCTCTGTTATTGCATGCGTTGTTTTATGTTAGAGAAGGTAGGAAATATGAAGTTGCTGCATGCTTTTGATTCGTAGTACAGTCTCCGGTTTGGGTCGTAGCTGTATTGAGACGCCGCCATTTTATAGCAGCCAGGCCTCGTGGCCTTTTGTTCCTGCGGGTGAGCTGCAGTGGAAATTTAGGACTTTGAATCAACATTTACGATGGGAAATCACGCTTAAATGCAACACGCATTTAAGTCACGGCTTACTCTGACAAATAAGTACTTAAAATATTTGCCCTATTCGCTGGTCTTTCAGCGGCTTTGCTAACGTTAATGGCGGCGGTGTGTCCCTCCTCCACACGCCCTGAATATAAATAAGGGGAGCAGGGAAGGATGTATGTAGACGGTGAACAGCATTAATTAATACTACTATCACATTAAAGTTGTGGTTGTATTACATTAAAGCCGACATTGGAGAAGCTAATCAGATGTTATTGCATTGCTTTGTCTATTGTATAGGTCCCACGTGAGCCAGAGCAGCTCCGCAAGCTGTTCATCGGAGGCTTGAGCTTCGAGACGACAGACGAAAGCCTGCGTGCTCATTTTGAGCAATGGGGGACTCTTACAGACTGCGTGGTAAGTCGGGTTTCATTAAAGATGTAGTCATGATGTTTCAGTGGTCATGATTTTGCAATAATGTATATAATAATGTATATAATAAAGCATGTTGGTTACTCTATGTATGAGCTAATCCAAAAGCATTTGTCTTTCAGGTCATGAGGGACCCCAACAGCAAGAGATCCAGGGGTTTTGGCTTTGTAACATATTCATCAGTGCAGGAAGTTGATGCTGCCATGTCAGCCCGTCCCCATAAGGTCGATGGAAGAGTGGTAGAACCGAAACGAGCTGTTTCCAGGGAGGTGTGTAACAACTGGATGAGGTGCAATTGTTCTTGCATTCAAAAGGCGCATAGTGATTACAATAACAAATGTCTTTGATTCCAGGACTCAAACCGACCAGGAGCCCACATAACTGTGAAAAAGATCTTTGTTGGAGGCATCAAAGAAGACACAGAGGAGTCACACCTGAGGGATTATTTCCAGCAGTTTGGCAAAATAGAGGTCATTGATATCATGACTGACCGCAACACTGGGAAGAAGAGGGGCTTTGCCTTTGTTACGTTTGACGACCACGATTCAGTTGATCGGATTGTCAGTAAGTGCAGAAGTTGACTTTTTTTTTTCAGACTTTTGATTGTTGGCTGGCTTGTTTACAAAAAATTCTCTCCACAGTCCAGAAATACCACACTATCAACTCTCACAACTGTGAGGTGAGGAAGGCCCTCACAAAGCAGGAAATGCAGAGTGCAGGAATGGGTATGGGAATGAGAGGAGGTCGCAACACTGGTGGCAGGCCCTACGATTACGACCGGGGCTTCAATCAAGGTACGGCTTATTTTGTTGATAGTGGAGTGATTGTTATACTGTGCGATAGCAAACCATATGATTATCTTATTTAGGTGGCAGGGGGCGATATGGAGATGGTCCTTACAATTGCAACGGGGGTGATGGTGGTGAGCATGGTTTTGTCGTGTCTTCCTATTTTCTTTGCTTTTCTTAAATTCCACAGTGTATTTTAAGGCTGTCTTATATTTTTAGGCTATGGAGGCGGACCTGGTGGTCCTGGTGGCTATAATGGAGGTAACCGTGGTTACAATCAGGGCTACAACCAGGGTGGTGGATATGGAGGAAACGGTTATGACAGCAATGGTTATGGTAAGATAATGCCATTACACTGCCTTTTACTAGAATTGTAACTTGCTTGAGGTTGACCAATCCTACAAACTCTGTAATCACAGGCAATTGTGGTGGTGGAGGCGGCGGTGGCGGCGGCAATAACTACAACAACATGGGCCACTACGACCCCCAGGCCTCTAACTTTGGCCCCATGAAGGGCAACTTTGGTGGTGGTGGCGGCGGCAGGAACTTTGGTATGAGTTCCCAGACTTCACAAGTAGATGCTTTTATGTATGCTGAGCTCTTGTTTTGACTTTGTTTTTTGCTTCCAGGTGGATACGGAGGCTCAAACAACAGCGGCTATGGTGGACGTCCAGGACGATTTTAAAATGGCAAAGTGGTAAGAGCTTGAGAGCATGCCTTAAGAGTCTCTTTTTAATGTAAAACAACAGCTTGTGGTGAGCAGGGAATCATTGAGTGCAGATAACCTTTAAACAAATTCACTCTGGATGTCAGGTCACAAAGTCAGTGCACAGTTAACAATGTTGTTCCGTATTGTTCAACAGGACTGAGTACTTAGGAGAGGAGAGCAAGGAGAGGAGAGCAAGCGAAGTGACAGGGCAACTGCAGGTTTACCTCCTAAATCTGCTCAGCCTATGAGTTGTGGCAGGTTACAGCTGCTGCAAGAAGAGATGTACAGTAGATAAATCATGGAGGGCCTTCATTTAAACATTTTGTCTTATGTTTTTCTTTTTTCGTCAATTGTGTTAATGGAAAGCAAGCATTCCAATGAGGTTTTGTGTAGATCTTTAAGTCTGGTTTTTATTTGTAACTGCATCAAATCAAGCTGAAATAAACACCTTTCAGTTTTTTTAACAGTCTCGTTAGCCTTTTCAGTGGTTTTGGGAAAGGGAGGGTTTACTATTAGGTGAAAATGGGTTCAGCCATATACATCACAAGGTGGCCGGGGAAAGTCAATATCGGTGTCTCCTACATGCTGGCTCAGGTCAGTGCATATGCAATACTGGTTAAAGGGCGGGCAAAGAAATGGTGCGCAAATGCCATCATCAGAAAGAGCCCATCACTTTGGTACAAGCTCTGCCCTGATTTCTGCAAAGATCACCTGGAGAATGCTAGCTTACATGCAAAGTCTATGAGGCTAGCCATGGAAGCAAGCTGAGGGAGAGAAGTAGCAAAACCATCGCCAGGATCATTGAAGCAGGGGAGAGTGAGAACAGAGGCCTGAGTCTAGCAGGCAGCAGCTACCAAAAGGCTTAAGTGCTGTTTGTAGGTAAGACCAGACTTCTCAACTACTGATGGTATATCTTGCATTTTGTCATGTAGCTGGTAGTGAGATATGTAGCCCAGTAATAATTTAATCAAGTTTTATGACCATTCTACTATTTGACTTAATTTGGCCTCCAATTGTGCATTGAGGCCCAAACATATTGCATGCTTTGAAATGAGCAAATATTTTGTATTTTTGGGGTATTGTTTTACTTACAGTATTTCTATTTTGTATGTAGGTAAGGTAACGAGACATGGACCCCAAAACCTGGCCTCATTTCTGTGACAATGGTTTTTGCCAGGTACTAACATTACTACTTATAGACACATCTATTTTTTTATTTATTTTTTAATAATACATTTGAATTAATGTAGTTTTCTCTTCTCCCCACAGGTTGGCTGAAAATTCATGCTGGCGCTCAAAATATTTTAAGAAGGCTGCTGTGCAGATTTTATTTTTTTAACTTTTTTTTTTAATAAAGTGTTTGTATAAAAACAAATCTCTGGTTTCATTCATTAAAAGAACATGAACAGTGTCCATTAATACATTTATGTGAAGCTTAACCTCATTCTTATGACAACTTCCTGTGTGACTTGGTCAAAGTCGGTACAATCGGGTCGAATGTTCTCCAGAGTAAGGAAACTACCCAGTTCTTCAGCATGGCTCTCTCTTCTGCATTGTGTGAGGTACCAGATAAATTTTACCATCCGGTGTCTGCTGTAAAGAATATTCATCTGTCGAGTATGGTTGTCCATCTTCATCTCGCAAATGAGAAAATACTTGGGTGTAAAGATCTGTAAGACGACATTTAACGAATGCCAAGCTGCGCTGGAACTCGAGCCTTTCTTGTGCCAGGTGTTCCCTTTGGGCCTGGAGCTGATTCAGTTCTCTTTCAAGGTGAATTATGCTTTCGAGCTTCCTCTTCCTGCAGTTCTGAGCTGCGACCTTGTTCTTCCCCCTTCGTCTAATGTCCCTGACCAGTGCTAGTTGAGCATCTGTCAGAGTATACTGTGTCAGGAGCTCATTGAAGTCATCGACAGGTAGATTGATAATCTTATCCATGGGGAAGGGGATCTTCAAAGCTAAGGCCCGCCGCTCATCTCTGCTCAGGGGAGGGGTAGAGATGCTTCCTTGGGGTTTTATGTACATGTTAAGGTGTGAGCTTCCTCTGCTGGACATTGCAGAATCATTGTATAGGTCACTCAAGGCTGCAGCCGAACCCTGGTGTTTCATTGATCGAGGAGTTGGAGTACTCGGCTGTGGCTGAGATAAAATGGGTTGGGCTGAAAAATAAGCTGGATGTGCACCTGAGTGTAAATATGAGTGAGTATGATTCTGGTAATCCGCTGAGTAATGGAGGTGGGATCTTCTTGTGTGCTCAGTCATGCTGTCTGGTTCGCCATCACTATATGCCATTCCTATGTCTACGCTTTGGTAACCTGGTGCGCCACCAACAGGATTATCTGGAGAGGCCAAAGGTGGACTGGAACCCAGTGACAGACCAGAGTCGGACTCCAGGTCATCACCGGAGCGAGTGTGTGCATTTTGTCCATGTACAGTCCACTGCATGTGCCCACGTAGTCCCTGAGTGAGACACGCATTGGTTCTCCTGTGCCCTTGATTGACACCTGACATATTTGTTTGCTCCCTAAGGGGCACAAAAGATTGCTGTGGGTGAGAGGAGATCGGGAGTATTCTCTGATGGAGCTGAGGTTCAGAGTTTCCATACATTGTTTCTGTGGAGGTGCCTAGACGATGACAGGTAGGCACCTCTTCGGAATAAAATCCATTGTAAGCCTCAGCGGTTCTCAGCTCACAAGCAGCGGGGGGCTCCGAGTGGGGCTGAGCCATCCCATACTCTCCCACAGAAGCCATGGGCTCCATGGTTTGGTACTGTGTTGTCTCATAGGAGTTTTCAGTAGGGACTTCGAACTCCTGTAAGACAAACACCCACTCATGACTGACAGGTTCAAAGATATGTCACACTCACAACAGTGAAATGACTAAAACCAATTAAATTTAAATAAGACCCCATGAGACAATCATTGCCTGTTTTTTTAAAGTTTATCTGGTTTGCTATACAAGAAAGTTTGCCCCCACTTCAACCTACCACCCATAGAATATGAAGGGCTCTTAAAGATGTGATCAGGTTCCACCTGGAAACAGAACGGCTATTGTGCAGTACAGGCGGCCACTAGCAATACACAGCATGCCCCCTTTCACAATCCTCCTATCCTGCCATCACTCAAATAGACCATTGTTGCCCATCTCACCTGGATGTATATTAGTTTTTCAACAAGTGTCACATGAAATTTGTTCAAACAAAGATATTCTGTCATCTATGAATCACATTAGTCCTACTTTCAACTAGACACAGAGAATAACGTCCGTGTGTTACAATGAGAAAAGATGCACACTTGTTCCTGTAGTGAGAGGGTTATTATTTATTTTCTTAACCCACGGAGTTGCAGTGGGATCCTTATATTGCTTGCTATGCCACTGACTACAACACAGCCTCAACAAAATATATTTTCCTTCCTCGGAGCTAAACAGCTGGCAGAGGATTTTTTTCATTGAAGCAGCACTTTCTCCAAATATACCTTTGGTGACTGTGGCCAAAGAGCTCAATTTGAATTCATCTTTCCACAGCACTTGTTTTAAGAACAACTCTGGCTTTTCCAGATGTTGCTCTGTACATTATAGACACTGAGTTGAGACATTGTGATGAGGTTGCAGGTAATGCTTCCTTCCTGATGATTCTGCAAAGGCACTTTTTCAAACACTGTAAGTGTAATGCTGCACCACCACTCCTTCAACAGCTAAGCTTGCACCCTCTTCAGAGTCATACGGGAATTTTGTACTCAATAGAAGAGGCGTTCTAGCAGAAAGTTTTCACTTTCTTTTTTATTGCTCTACCTGTCACAGCTACTGTAAATCCCTAAACACAGCTGTGGGCTTGACTTCCTCTGACATCTTTGTAGCTATCTGCTTGTAGACACTTAATAGCCCATACTGTTACAGCTTGAGCTTGTATCAGCTACAGCTTAACAAATAAGTGAACCTGACTGTTCAGCTATTTTGGTCTTTTCTTGAGTTCAGATATCTCATCAGGTTCTTTTCACTTTAAACAACCAATTAATAAGAGAAGATAATCAAAGCAAAATAATGTGAGAGTTTCTGTTATATCATGTTCTCATTTTGTTCTCGTTTATTTATTTATTTATTTATTCAGTGACTGGTTTATTAAAATTAAACCCGAAACTCCATGATAATGTAACATAAAGAGTTGTGATGATGAAATCTACATCCGCAATGGGTAAAGTAAAATTTAGCATTGTTTTCTGCAGTGCTCCCAGTGTATTTGGTGCTATAGTTACCTGCAGCTCTGTGATGGCCATCAGCTCCTGCCAAGCCACATCCATCTCTGTGTCTTGAGGAGCTCCATGAGATCTCACTCCAGGGAAATTAGTTGGCATGGGCACTCCCCCACACAACTTGCCTGATGTGGCTGCTACCTTTTAGAAAAATAAGAATTTCTGATTTGTTTTGTGGATTTAAAAAAAATTATATTTATATGGACGTATCTATTTTACATGTTGAGGTTTGTGTTTTCATGCCTTGTAGACAGACCTACCTCACAGGGTCTCCTCAGAGGGAGAACATAGTTGGCTGTGGAACACATTCAGGAGACGCTTTTGTTGCAAAAATTCAACCTGGCAGAGAAAGACAAGAGCATGTCATGAAAAAAATATTACACTGAAAAAGAAGGAAATTCAGAAAAAATCACCAACAACGCATTTACTCCATTGACTCGTGTGTACAGGCGAACCGTTTAGTCACACCACTCCTTCAAACACAAATTCCTGATGAGTCTTTAGCACATTACACATATGTGCTAAACAGACGACTGTTGGGGTGTTGTAAAGGTTCTGTTGGGCTACATAAAAGGTTCAGTTCAGTTGAGATGACTCCTCCCATCAGCTGTCTCAGGGTGCAGCTATGCCTACTGCTGATAAGACAATCTGCGGGAAAACAGCGTGCTCTATAAGAGTAACGGGGGCCTGGTGGCAGCTTTGGAAATGTTGGTGCAGGGCTAACATGTTTCCAGTAATGGTTCTCTCAACTCTTTTAATTAGGCTAGACAGCATTGTGGTCATTTTTTATGTTTCATAGCTGTTTGCTCAGTCATTCAAAACCCAGTTAGGGTTCTGAATGGGACATCACTTCTGTCAGACCACTATAGTCTCTATCTGTTGAATGAGACTTTTTATATAACAATCTTTATCTGTGCTGACCCTGTTTAAAACACAAATACTGAAATTATAGTGGGAATATTCCTTGACATTGTGGTTGATGACTTAAGGCTTTTTTTGTGGGCGAAAATTATGATAATCATCTTATTTCATCCATGCGGTTGAAAGGTCATTTTTATGAATAAAAATAAGTATTTTTGAGCAAGCAGCAGTTTTTTCATCAATTAAAGAATGACATGAGATCCATTTGTCATCCTCATATCCTTATAGAAAGTGGTCAGGAAATTATACTACTAATTAAAATTAAATAATTTAAAATGAAAAAGTTAGGCTGTGTCTGAGGTTCCGCAGATCACAGTTTATTTCTTTTAGATATAGCCTTCGAAGGATCTGCAATTCCCTGCATTAAATAATTTTACTTAGATAGTCCAAATGTGATATAATCTCATAGTTTTCTTCATCTGCTGGACTTTTCTTCATTTTCCATTTTTTATTTGAATGAAACATCTAATATAATGTTTCTGACCTTCAAAATCAAACCACATGCATTTAACATGCAAAAAAAAAAAAATGTTTGGAGAGTCTGAGTAAGTCTGTTTGCAATTGCGTAAATGTCCTGCAACATGGAATTATAAGTATCGTATTCTGCTTTATCCAGTCCTCTGTTGGTGGTGAGTTGCTTAAGGCTCCTTCATGTACAGAAGGAGTTTAAATTCAAGATTAAGAACTAAATGAAAAGCAAAAGTATTATCTAAAATGTCAAAAACATAAAATCTAATAAAGAAAAACCTTTATTTTACTGTAAATGTATTCTTTATTGCTTCAATGAATGTTAGTTTTACCATTAATGCAATACACTCATAGCACTTTTTTATGTTAGGCTTTTTATAAATCGCAAAAAATATAAGTAGGAAAATTACAGCCTCCAAACGTCGCTATTAAAAAGCTTTAAAAAAGCAAAGTCTAAAAAAGCAACAAAAGGAAGATATGAATGAACTTACCTGAGCAACATTCTCTGCGACTTCAGCTGGTGATGAGTTTAAAAAAATCTGATGTGAAGAACAATCCTGGAATTACAGGCAAGAAAAGTACTGAGTGCTGCTGTCGCGGTGTTACTCACTTTTAACAGATCACAAGAAGTAAAACACATGAGGCCTCCCGCTCTATCTCTTATTCAACTGTGAGTCTCTCTTTCTGTTCAGCTACACATACAGCCACCGGCATAAATGGGATGGCTCAGTGCAGACAAACGCAATCTTCCTGTAAAGCACCCACACCACAATTTTTTGCACTCTTGTATCCTTAATAGCACACTTGCACCCCAACCTCCAAATTTCCCTTTTGCCCACATGACAAACCACAAACCAACAGTCTGGCACATAACACGGCAATCATTCTGTCAGTCCACAGTGAAGTAGGTAGATGTTTACAAATATATATCTAAACAATGTAAGCAATTCTGATTCTAATTGTGTAATGACAATACACATAAAAGGATCCGATTAAACAACTAAATGTGAGAGAAAAACTAGCCGTATGATTATCTCTGTCCCGGCCAAACCGTACAAGAACAATGTCCTTTCAAATCCTCCCAAAGGAAAGGTATGAGGAGTGTGATGTGGAGCACCTGGAGTCAGAGCCGGCTTTGCAGTGAGGGCCCTGTTAAAGCAGGGGTGGGCTTGAAGGCAGGATTGAGACTTAGTTTAGCAGAGATGGAATGCACACCCTCCAACAGGTAAGAAAGACTACATTGTTCCTCTATCTGGCAGAGCAACTGCCAAGGGAGAGAGAGGAGCCGGGGGAGAATGGAGGGGAGCGTGTCTTACATAGCAAGTGACCATTACAATCCTTAACAAAAAATCCCCTCATTGCCCTGATCTGCAGCGCCGTGAACAGTGAATTCACAAAGGCTGTGTGTTATAGAGAAACTGCCCCATTGTGCAAAACTTTTCACACAATTCCCGATGATAGAGATGCATATTTATCGTGTTGTAGAGTAATTCATATTTATTGTGTTGTAGTGTGTGTACAGCACTGGCAGCCTCACAGTGACAATGATGATTTTGGAACCAATCTGGGCCATATTAAATATTTGGCATCTTTCTTCCTCTGTTGCAGACCCCTTGCCGCGTACATTGTGTACAACACAATGGTTAGATTCACTCGTTCATCGATGGCACCAAATCACTTGAAGCTGTTATTTCAGCTTCTGTGTCAGACGCATATGTTAATACTTTGTATAGGATTCAAGTATTTGTTAAAGCAAGCAGAAGTAAACACATGCTTGGAGAACTGCTCGCAGAATTTCTCAGAAATGTGACTCTGAAAACCGATGTCACAGTCATTTCTTTCCTCGAACTGTAGTCGCTGAATTAACTTGTTAAACAGAAAGCGGGAAAACACACACGCACGCATGCACATGCACACACACGCATGCATGCACACGCACGTCTATCTATCATCGTACTAAACATTTTAAATGAAAATGAAAATTTTACACATCTGCACAAACATCCAGAGAAAAGTTGTAAATGTGATGATAGCTACGTTTGAGTTAATTAATGTAACATTAAATATACACTGATGGGCTACAGTTACAAATTTCATTCAGCTGTACATTCACAAGCTTTGGGAACATGGATGGTTTTGTATGGCCCAATATAATATCACATCCCACTGAGACATAAATCACAGTGTTTTCTCATTGTTCTAAGATGGAAAAACTAGGTGGCTGACTAAGTCAAGAAAGGTGAATGTCTACCAGGAATCAAAGAAGGGACTTCCCAACCCAAGTTCCTAGCACCCAGCCCCTGACTCAACCACTGCCACAGCATGCCAAAGAGCACCCTGTTATTACTGCAACCACAGTGGTTTTGAATCTGGACACAGTTCCCAGGTCAACGCCCACATTCCCTGTTTGTGTTTGTTTGCTTCAATTAGTCTTTGACATCTCTGCTTTCCAGCTTGCCTGAACCTTTCATGGCTGTCAGAGTTTACTTATTGTGTAGCTCAGTTCTCCAAACAACTGTGCTTAAAAAACAGGCCAGAGGTGCTGGCTGGGAACTGCCCACAGTTGAGTCGCTCAGGCTTAGATTTGCTTCATGTGTGTTATGTTTTGTATTGACGCTAATCTGAAATGATTTGTCTGCTGTTCTTTCCGTGGTCGTTAAAATGTTCATTAAAAATTAAGGATTTGTGGTATCTCTGGTTTTGTTGTAGTATTCAGAAAGCTTTAGCAAACATGAGTGGGAAAAACCGCCTCATGACCAAAAAAAAAAAAAAAAATGGATGTGTGCAATGGGTTGTGGTACCAAAAGGGGAATATTTTTGGAGTCAGTTTCTGGGAAGGGAAAAAAATAGAGAGGGCAGTTTAAGTTTTTTTCTTTTTTTATATTGATTGAGAAAAAACTAAAAAGCTAAAAATTACAAAAGGGGTGACATGTATCAGGTAATGTGCGCAGCCGTTAGTGGGGATATGCAGATCGGTATCTGACTGAAAATGCAACCCATGTTATAGGACGTTGTTACACAGGTATCGCTGATACCGACGTGGCAGACAGAATGAAAAAATGTGCATGAAAGTTGAAAGATTAATAATCGTTTTGGAAATTAACTGGAAGCGCAATGGTCTGTCGTTCACACAGCATCAGTAGCTCTGTTTGTCACGATGGTCACACATTACCAGACATAAGAAAGAGAAAATGAGGAACCTGAACATGCAGCATCATTCTTCTGAATGTCTCAATAGTGCCTGTGCTTATCTCAAGATGTTCAGATAAAGATAATGTTTTGCAACAGCAGTATTGCGTTGCCTGATTATTTATTGAGAGCCCCTTTTATTTTTGTGCAAGCGTGTTTCTCAAAAAAAAAGTTGACATGCCCTGTACAGTGTGAACTAACAGCGAATGCAATGAGTTGCAGTTTTTGTACACATCTATATTTGACTGAAAACGTTACAAAAACGACATAGTTTCAAGTACTAAACCCGAGAAATGTTACTGCTGAAGAATACAAAGCAACGCTTTTCCAAAAATATCTCGACGGGGCCATGTATACACTGGTGTTGCATCACCGGGTCTCTTCAAGAGATTCTTCAAGCTCTTGGGAACGGAGGGGATGAATTGCTTTTCTATTCTTACTTCATATATGATTCCATTTGCTCAATTGCTTGGAGCCTCCTTTGTGTTATTCTTTGTTTAATAATACAGTAAGTATTTTATGTGCCATGTATGGACAAGCAGGCCAGTTTAGCAACTGTACTCTTTTACTATGGAGCCATGCTTTTGTAATAGTTGCTGAATGTGATTTGGCATTGTCTTGCTGAAATAAACAAGATGTACCTGAAAAACGGAGCTGCACTGGCGGTATATGTTTCTCCAAAACCTACATATATCTATTTGAACTGTGTGCTGATAACAGGCAGAAAGAACATGGTGCACATCGGTGTTTCTGGATTTTTTTTATTTATTTTTTTGAATGGTAGTATGTTAACTTCCATTTTTGGATGCACAACAAGCTGACTTTACTGGAAATGTTTTTTCAAAAGTCTCCCCAAGCACATCCAGTGATATCCACTGCAGAATGTCATTTTTAATATTGGCCTTTCTCTGAGTTTTCTGATTCTTTTATATGATCTCTACCATGGTAGAAGATGAGATATACAAGTTCTTAAACAAAAGAAATTCTCAAACTGTTGAAGCAAATGCCTACTGAGCCTCCACAGAGTGTTGAATCCATCTCCAGTTTTCATCTTAAACACTCAGACTCTCTGGGAGCATCTTCTATGTTGCTTACTTATTACCAATCTGTGTGAGTTGTGAGATATTCCATCTGTGTTTAAAAAATAAGCATAAGAGCATTTTTCATTTTTAACTTCTAATATTCGATTCATTATAATGTTTAAATTGGTTGCAATTTTCTTTTTATTTAGGCAGTGCATCACATTCCTTTGGAAACAGGTTGTGTATTCTTTCGGCCAATGTGCTCTTGAGAATGAAAGTCAAGTCTGGTTGATAATGAACACATATTGGGGGGGGGCAGGGAAAGGAGGATGTTGGTTGGCGGAAGCTCTGTTTTACACCGATAAAAGGAGCACTTGATTCATAGGAAGGGAACTGCTAACTGCTGTGGTTGCTGGCATGTTGTGGCGAGAGGGAAACAGCCCATACTATTAAAATACTTCACTTTTATATAATGCAATGTTATTATTTTCTAGTTTTAATCTTTTGGGTAAAAAAACACTGCTGATAATTTTAAAAAATAAGGTAAATACTTGATGAAACTCAAAAAAAGCTCCTGAAGAGAGATTATTAGCGATCAGTTTCCTCACATCATGCTTTTCCGGTGCAGACTTTATTATTTAGGATGTTTTCATGACAGAGTAGTGGTGTATATGTTTAATACCACTTACTTTTTGTAATAATCAATCCAGTTCTTTTTTAGGTAAACTGAATCAGTACCATATGCCATCCAGAAAACTTACAGTCATTATATACAGTAGGTATTTTGTTTCTGTTTATTCATTGTATGTGTTGATTCATCATTCAACTTTCAGACATCAGTCAGCTTTGCCAGTCATCGTCACCACTGTGATGCTTTTCAAACACAAAAGAATAAAAATAAGTTTAACTTTGCGGATGAGATGGCATGACAATATCAGGCGATATTTAACCTTTTAGTATGAGCTAGTTCAAGGCAGTATACAGTTTCCTCTCTGGTCAAGGCAATTTTGAAATCGTAGTGGCTAAATTTGTGCAAGCATACTGCAGTGTTGCAACATTTCA